ATTTATTTATTATTTATTTATTCATTTTTAATTGCAGTGTCTTAGTTTATAGTTTTGGTTGCATGTGTTTTGAAAAAATACGTAGATCTAATAGAATCTTCATCCAAAATCAAATATTCTAAATATTGAAAAAAAAGAGCAACAATATACCCCACGCATAAGGTAGGTACCATTCTTTTTTTTAAATAGTTGTTGGTTTTCTTTCTTGTTTTGCTTAGTTTTTCTTTAACTTAAAAAAATACATAATGCTTGATGGGCTTAGAACATTTAAACAGCTTGCCAACTTCTTGCTGAATTAGGTGATTGAAGTTAGATGCAGTGCTCTTTTCAGCAGAGTTCCTCGTCTGGGCAAATGTTGAAGAGAGTTTAGGTCTTGCGTGCAGGAATTGCGTGCAGTTCTTAGTTCCGTGCAGAAGTGTACATGCCTCCGTTGTGTGCCGCGAGCCATGTGTTTTGAGACGTGTGTCCTGTGCCGTGTTCCACGACATGGCATGTGCAGTGTGTTGTGTGCCATGTCCCACATGCCGTGTGTCGTGTGCTATGTGCCGCGTGCCGTGTGTCGTGTCCTAAGTGTCGTGTCCTAAGTGTCGTGTCCTAAGTGTCGTGTCCTAAGTGTCGTGTCCTAAGTGTCGTGTGCCGTGTGCCGTGTACGGTGTGCCATAGGTCATGTGTCGTGTTCCGTGTTATATGTCCCGTGTGCCGTGTGCTATGTGTCGCGTGCCGTGTGCAGTGTGCCGTGTGCCACATGTCATGTGTCGTGTGACGTGTGCCATGTCCCACATGCTATGTGCCGTGTGTCATATCCCAAATGCTATGTGTCGTGTGTCATATCCCACATGCTATGTGCCGTGTGTCATATCCCACATGCTATGTGCCGTGTGTCATATCCCACATGCTAGGTGCCGTGTGTCATACCCCACACGCTGTGTACCGTCTGCAGTGTGCCGTGTTCAACCACTTTCCCCATCATATCAATTGGCATTCTTGAACTGTGCGCACCAACTCGGCGTCATGCAGGGAATGTTTCAGACAGGCAAATATTATGTGCCACAAGAAAAACGGTGCTTTTCCATGAGCCAAAACAGTGTTTGAAACTGAAAGTGCTATTAACTCTGTTGTGTGCAATTCTTAACGAGTCGTAAATCAACATGCAACGAAATGAACATGCAAAAAAGTTGAATTGATTGCAAACGTAATTAAAACTTCAAAGAAATCACACTTTTATTGAATTTGATCAATGAAATCATTAGTACTTTTTAAAAATTATTATTAT